GAAAAGATTTATAGTCCATAAGAATGTACTCTTTAAATGATTATTGCAGTTCACCCTGCGTAAATGAACCTTGACCCCTTTCGAAGTTATTGCCCCTTTCGCAAGAAATGCTTGTTATCGCTACTCCTCTGAAACCATAAACCGTAGAGGTATGAAACCTTTACCAATGTCTTTGACTAATTAAGGGGACTCTTCAATCTATTCATTGCGAAAGCATTCGGTGCTCCCTTCAATGAGTTATTGCCCCTGAAACTTTTTGAAATTAACAAATAATTAAAAATTTTCAAAACAATAAGTCGTAGAGACATGGGACCAACTGCATATGACTCCTTGACCTTTGACCTTCAAATTCATGTAAAGGTCAAAGGTCAAGGTCATTCCAAAAATGAGAAATTTAGCTATTTTTATATCTCTTTTGTCTTTCAACATATACTTAATGTCTATGCATCATTAATATGTACTCTTAAAACTGTTTCAAAGATTTGACTCTTGTCCCCTAATATTAACCCTTTTAAACGTTATTGCCCCTTGTGTGGAAAACCTTGTTATCACTACTCCTCCGAAATCGTAGACTGTAGAGACACTAAACCTTCACTAATGTCTTAAGGGTCTTTAGGCCTAACTTCACTGTATAAGTGCAAATGGATCTGATGACCCCTTATAAAAGTTATTGCCCTTTAAGTTTTTTGTACTTACTATTAAACCTTATAACTTGTAAACTATAAGTCTTAGAGGCATGGGGACAACTGCATTGTGACCCTTGACCTTTGACCTTGAATATTCTTTAAGGTCAAAGGTCAAGGTCATTTATTTTTTGTTTTGAATTTTCATTTTTTTTCTATGCTGTTTAAGAGAATTCTGGTTTCTTTTTCATGGAATTTATTTTTTAGGAGTCAGATATAAAACAAATTTAAAATTCAAAGAAGGTGGAAAGACCTCTTATTGTTCTGTGAACAATAAGTCTCCTAGTTTTCATTTATTTTATTATTTTTGGTTATTATCATTATTATTTTCTTTTCGTTAAACATTAATTCCTATGCATACATGAAATATTATGTTAGTGTGTCGTACATGTACATATATCTTTCATGAGAGGAAACATTTTATTTGCATTTTAATTGTGTAATACAGAGTGAATTAAAATAAGATTGAATTAAATACATCATATAAGAAAGAAACTGACGAAGAGATACATATAAAAAACGCACATTCTTAAATATTTCAGAGAAATTAAATTCGGAAGCAAATCAAAGTTTTCATCATTTTTGAAAAATCAGAAATGCATTTATAGAAACATTAAACATTTTTAAATGGTTTCAGTCCAAGGAAAAGAGAATGACTGGCCGTCTCGATTTTATGGTCTTCTTGCTGCTTTTTGTGTATGTGTAGCAGTCATAGCTGTTTTGTTAGTGGTGGTGTTCCTGCAACGGTACTTCACGTATTCGACTGAATTAAACGATTCCTAATCTAAAATTCTTAACGGCCTATTTTTTTTTAGGAAATAAAAATATTTTCAAAGTAAACATATAATTGAATCTTTTCTTCCTTTTTCAGACGTCGCATGATCGTAAGGAAAACACAACAAACTTTTAAGGAGAGTCAAAATCCACAATGTAATACCGGTTACGTAGATGTAATGTCCACTGAAAATATTAAAAGTGAATACCAAGAGCTAAGTGACATTAAAGAACCCTCAACGTATGACGTTATCAAATGATAAGCCTCAGTAATAGACGTTGGGATATTACTGCAGACCTCAGATGAGAAATAAATTTAAGTTTACTTAAAAAGTTTTATTGTAATCACTAAGTGTCCTCCTTGAATGTGAAGGTCTGAAATATTGTATAGGCGTGTTTTATAATGATCATTTTGTTACATGTCTTAGGAGATGCAGCGATTGACCAATAAAAAGCTTACAAATTAAATTCTGAGACCACGCGGCGCGTCACTCTGCCTTATATCCCATCTACATCCTTGGAGGACGGACTTGTTTCTGTTAAGTCTAAATGATTATTACTGTAAATTTAGATTATCACCCTTAAGAAAATTGGTTTATTTATCATCTTGATATTTTGTGTCTGCTAAAAATTATATGTCATTGTTAATAATACTTTTGAGAATTTCAAACAAATTATTAAACGTCACAAAGGTGTCAACACACGACAAACTGTTTTACAGATTATTTACTCATTGAAAGAGGATGAGATAAGGTGTTCTAGCGTTGATAGGATTATGGAAAGAAATTAGCTAAATGATGGGTAACCGGGCTATCAAAATACTTATTGCTTTAAAATAAATAAATTTAATTATTACCTGTTATTTATTATTTGTTTTTTTTTTATCTTATTGTGCACGCTACTTCAAATCACAACAAAGACAAAAACAGTTTTTTTGCTAACCGAAGCGAAGCCAAAGTCAGCATTGATAATTTTAGTGGACAATAACCAATGAATTGAACAGTTTGATTTAGTCACTAGTCCAATACGTTTAATGCAAAACCGGATGTAAGTTTCAGAGTGGAAAGGCTTCTTAAACATTTTACAAAAATCTGCCTCAGTGAGGTATATAAATGTGGTTAGGTAATGGTATTGAAAGAGTGTTAGATACAAGAAGGTATGATTTGCTTAATTTAAATAATAAATAGTGTTCTTAGGTTGTTTGTACGGAAATGAATGTCGTAGTTATTGCAGAAAAAATACATAAATCGCATAGCGGGTAATGTAATTTTTTTCTGCAATTGCTGTGACGTTAATTCCCGTACTAACAAATGAAGAAAACATTTTTTTTGTTTATATTTACATCTGTATCAAAAATCATACGAAAAGTAAAATTAAATTTGTTAACTATTGTTTTAAGATGAATACGTCATTGTATGTAAAACTAATGTCACAGCCATTGTTCTAGAAGGCTACACACGTGGCTTGCTCAGTGTTGTTCATGCACTGATTAACGGCAATGGGTTTTCTTAAGAAATAAAGGAGAAAACATTCAGTGGATGTTAATAAATCCAAATGATGGAATACTGTGTTCTACCGATGCGATAACTGCACAAGTGTTTCATCCCTGAGTCGTATCTAACAATACGGCCATTATTTGACAGTGAATCCTTTCAAACCGGCTGCACCCTCCTCTGCATCTCTTGAACAACTAAATCGCCAGATTTGTTTCCTACTGAGTATGAATTGGACAAAATGAATGAGCATGAAACACCGAAAACACCATCATTTCCTTTCAAGATATCATTGGTGTCGCAAGGGCATACCAGATAGTGATCTGTAATAACAATAAATTTGTTATGGTTCCAAAATTCTCTAATAATTATAACATTTGGACTGTTGACCTATTGATCACCACATCCTCAATTAGTCATCTTTTGAATTATCTTTATGTTCGATGTGTCATAAAAATTTAACTTGTATTAGATGCCCCCTCCCCCTTCCCCGCAAAATTTAACTGAAAAGTGTTTGTAAAAAAAAATCATTATAAACAAGGTTGACGTATTTTACAGTCATCGGACTTTGCACTTCTCTTGTAGTAGGTAAAAATGTATGGTTTGAGATTTTCAACAGTTTCCAAATCTGAAATGATGTGCAGAGCGAGGGAAATAATCTTTGAAAAAAAAAAGTAAAAAAATAATAATAAAACCGATTTCTATATAAGAAGTTTACGATTTTGAAATATTTTTTTTTTAGATGAAAAGAAAGTTATTGCTGTGCATGTAAACAATAAAACATGTTTGTTCTTTTCTCCTTCGTTTTTATTACTGAGGTGTGTGTGCCGATGGCTGAAGGAGTTAAAACCAAAAACTACTAGCCTTTAATATAAAGCTACCCAAAAGGTGTATTTCTATATATTTACATCCACTGAATATTTTCTTCTTTTTTTCTTAAGAAAACCCATTGCGTTCATCCCTGCATAAACTACATTAGGCATATCACCTGTACAGATTTCTTGATCAGTGGCCGTTCCATCAATGAAACGTACAAAGACGTTCGCATCATTAACACAATAATTAATATTTTTAATCCTACTTAAAATGATAATTTAAACAGATATAAATATAAACAATAAAATGTCTTTCTTTGTTTGTTGTTACCGGAATGAACGGTCGCAGCTATTGCAGAAAAAATTTACATAACCCGCTTACGCGGGTTATGTATTTTTTCTGCAACAGCTGCTTCCGTTCATTCCAGTAACAACAAACAAAGAAAGCATTTTATTGTTTAAATGAGATCCTTGATTTTTTTTTTATTTATGTTTACGGGGAAAGGAGCGATGATTATGGTATTTTATGTATGCATTAATTTCTGTAAAAGAAAACGTTAAATAAAGAGAAAACAAGGGGCCTAAGATTTAGCAGAAGTGGGAACAGTTGCCTTAGAGGTGTTTTTGTCTCTTGCAATTTGTAAAATCATCAATGGTTCTAGATAAATAAAGGTCACAGATGAGAATGGGAATTTCATATGTTCTATAATTATTTTTTTTTCCTGCCTCTTCTGACCCCATTACCATGTGTTATTTTCTTTTATTTAACGTTTTTTTTTAATGGAACAAATGATTTTTTTTTTGTTTTGTTTTAATCTTTCAATGCTGTTATTTCATTCTACTTCATCAAAACAAACTTCAGTCGCCTTGGTTTTGTACTAATAAAACAACAAACAAAAGATCACACATTAATTTGTATGTGTTATCCCCGTATAATGCAATGTAATTTACCTGACACACTATTTAAACATTTATCCTTAAAGCGCACGCAATCATTTCCTTTCTGTGATTTTCAATTGCATTGTTTGTTAGACACAAAAATGGGTAACCATATTTGTATAAAGCGTAATAATATGTCATATTTAAACATGAAGTAAAGTAGACAAATATACCTCTTGATTTACGTATTGCGCATTATTAATACACTTATACTTTGAAAGCCTCAAGATATTAATACGATGTATGCCTACAGATATAACTGCTTAAGAAGCCTTCACTTCACTTTTCTTCCTGTTTATGCCACTCATTCGGCAAAAAAGAATTTTTAAAATGAAAATGAAAACCACCTTTCTAGGAAACCGACAACTTTTCTATTGATCTCAAAATAAAAGACATGCTGGAATTTAGAGACAAAACGAGGTTTCTGACTGAAGAATGTCGCCGCCATTCTGAGCACAATATATTGCTGCTAATATTCATTTTTTTTAAATGGCTGTCTTAAAATCAATTTATTCAGCATTGTTTGGTTATGTTTTTGGCATGAAAGTCCTTTCATGTATACCGTCTGACTTTGTCCCAAACCGCATATTTAAGACATGTTTGCTAACTCATTCATACAATGTATTCTTATCTCACATGATGTCAATATCATTAGTTAAATTATCTGAACACTTTTACTTCCAAAGCACAACAAAGCCCATATCGTTCCTCCTTTCTATGTATTATACAATTTGTTTACTTAGATTCGTATTTCTTTCTCTTCTTATTTTTTTTTTTCATAACTACAAGTAGGACGTTTAGTAGCAGCCAATATACTGAGCTGGCATTCAAGTGATAAAAAAAAACATAATTTAAAACCGGAAGAATTTATTTAACACCACATTTAATGTAAATACAACACTGCTTTGACATGAAGTTAGCTCACATAGCAATATTTTTCACAGTATTAAGAAATGATGACACGCTTGCTTATGGTGAGTTTCTGATATCTATCCATATTCATTTTATCATTTTTTTTCTGCTTCTAATGAGAAAAATTAAAAGAATTATCCACGCTTCTTAACCTGTGATATATGATATTAAGTCTCCTTTACAGAAAAAATTGTATCATATGCACTTTAATATAGACAGTTGTGATTCTGCAGAGCTGTACAGTTATTTTAACCAGTTTAGCTTAAGCTCATCATTATTTTTGTCATGATAAAAAAAAAAAATAGAAGACTGTTGGCTATATTATTATATTAAAGTGCAAGATTTCTTTCCTGCATTAAAGTATACAATGATATAGCAAATATAGTGTTGATAACAGTATCTTCATTTAAGAGATGTATAAATTATTACAATGATATTAAAACAAATTAAACAAGGACACTGGAAGGCAAAGCATCTTGTTTAAAAGAGAATATCCGTAAATGAAAACAAGATAAGGCATCGATCCTTAATCAAATTAGTACATTTTCGTTTCGTTTTGCGTTAGCGCTTACTCACTCACCAATGAACAAATTGTATGACTGTTAATGTATTTAATTAAGCGTGTACGGTATTTGGCGGAAATTTGCTATTGATCAAGTTAGCGTAGATTTAATTTGGCGCTTTCTTCATTTTCTTATTTATGCGTTATCTGCAAGACATTTAGCGTTGTAGTTGAGTAAGCGGTTGCTGTGTTCCGCCAAAGCCGCTAAAAAGTATACACAGCCAGATGTAATCCGTTTACATGTACTGTATATTTATCAGCAATGCAATATGGAAATGGTGTTTAGCAATCCAATATGTAAATGGCGTTTTCTTTTTAGAAAACATAGCTTTAAACAACCCCACACGACAGTCACGCCAGTATTACAGTACTATTCAACCACCTGCTATATTTGACTCCAGTAATGCTGTTGATGGTCTAAAGACTAACTTCTCTTCTTATGGAGGACAATGCGTTATATCAGCTGATGGACAGAAGAACGCCACTTGGTGGGTTAACTTGACGTCCATCCAAAGTATACATCATATAAAGATATACTACAGGACAGACAATACAGCATGGGGTATATAACTTAATTAAATTTTAATGAATATCTTTTCCAACTAGTATCACACTTTCTCCTGTAAAGGATTGGATTTAAACAATGTAGTAATAAGACTTTGCCTCTTCATTTTTCAATTAACAAGAGATAATATTAATGATATTTTTTGCAAAGGCAGCACTTTTTTCAGAAAAGAAATTTAATAGATCGTGAAACTGCATAAGATTTAAAACAATTTTTTTTTACGAAACAAATACAGATCGCTTTTGCACCTAAGATTATAAATTTATTATAAATATGAAAGTACAATGAAAATATTTTTTTTGGGAAAAAAATATAATTATCTATAAAATGAAAAAAAGTAATAAATTATGAAAAAAAAGTGAACACAGTTGGTACATTTTTTATACGACACTGAAATACATGTACATTGATGTAATAAAGAGGCCATGGTATTCCATTACTACTTGTTTTTGGTATCGAGATGCATTGCACTTGTACGAGGGTTGAGAGAAAAGTTCGCGGACACATTGATTCACGGAAAATCTATTGTGTACTGTGAATTGTGACCTATGTCTAATTAAATTCATATCATTGTTTATTAGTATGTAAAATATCAGGTCCATTTACTGAAACTTTAAAAATTTACAACGATTCTACTATGAGGTAATAGGATTCACGGAGCAATCACTTGACGTTAGTGACGTGACAACCGGATTTCAAACCCGTTAAGATTTTTATTAGTTCTAAATATCTAACATATCTTTGACTTTTCTTGTCTTTTTTCTACTTAAAAATTAAATATCAATATCGAGACATGTTACTTTTCTTTTGGCATTTCTCAATTGTTGTTCGGATATTAGCAAGATCTTAAAATGACCGTCTACGCTGTTATGTGATCATGATCAGGTTTGGAAACTATGCAAAATCCTGAAACGCAACTTCCATGTGATAAGTGGGATTACTGAGGTACCGCATGAAAGTTCATGATATAAAAAATTAATTTCTCCATCTTATGAAGCTACTACCAATTGGATATTATTGTCTTTTTTACGTGTAGACAATTTCTAACATCATTTCGAAGCATTTTAGTTTATTTTTGACATTTTCCTGTCTACGCACATAAATTTTAGTAGCTCGGTGTTCCATTACGTTCAATGACGTTCACTTTCTTGGCTTTCATTTTACGCGTTGATTATATATAAATGGCTCTAAAACGTTCATAGACCATCCAATTCAATTCAAAATTTCACCAAGTGACATTTCATGAAAACGGTAGCGGCAGGTAAAATTTCATAATTCTTTTTGCGCTACAACTATGCATTTTTTTTAAATTTATTGAAAAGTCTATGTAATATAAACGCTCAAAATAGTAGCATGCTCCGTGAAGTATGTTTTATCAAAATAATATAGCTGTATATTTTTTAATTATCACCGGAAAACACAAAATCTTTATAAATTTATTGGAAAAATGGTAAAGTTTTTATTTGGAGAGTTAAACCGGTTCATGGAAATAGCGCGCTCACAATCGAACTTGTCCGCGAACTTTTCTAACAACCCACGTATATGGTATGCTATTCATCTTTTTATATGTTACTTTATGTGTAAAGGACTGAGATAATTGACATCAAATTATGAATATTTGTTTTAGGTGCTCAAAATGGATACACCGCAAGATTTCTAGGATTCTATCTTTATGTATCAAACACAACACGCATTCTAGATGGGCATCTGTGTTTTCACGACACAGTTTACAACAGATCTACAATACCAGCTGTGGTCAACATATCCTGTCCCGTACATGGACAATATGTCATTTATTTCAATGAAAGACCTCAGGCGACCCAATTTGCTGATCAATTTTCGTCGAATGCACATAATGAATTATGTGAAGTTGAAGTTTATGGTATTTCTTTTTGTCCCCCATATTCTCAAACGATAGGATATTAGATCTTATTTGACCTCTGTCTGTCGGTCTGTTTGTCAGTCTCTCAGTTACACACTTTTTCCTTACAAGTCATAGCATTTAAATGAGAAGAAATAGAAATGTCCTATTACAAATGTATATCACATGTAATAGATCTTCCTAAATATGCTTTGATATTTGACCCTGTGACAATCCTTGAAGTGTGACCTACTTAAAAATAATCATTGCTTTAAATTGGCAATTACTTTTAAACGAAAAGAGATAGGGCTTTAATTTTAAAGATGTGGATTACAGGTGACATGATCTTTCTAAGAGACAATCTGATTTTTTTATCTTATGCTTTTGAAGATTTAATACTTTTCAGATCTGTTAGGTTGGTCATACCTTTGGAATGAGAAGTGACCAGGCTTTAATACTTAAAAATGTATTACATTAAAAAAGCTGTTTCAAAGCATGCTACAGTTTCTGACCCCTTTACCTTCACGATAGATCTGATTTAAAAAAAAAAAAAAAGAACTTATTTATTTTAATTTCCGAATAAAATATTATTGAGCCTTTATACTTGACAAAATTTGTCAAAAAAACATCTCAGCCACAGATTAGCTAAAAGTGGGGAACCACAAATCTTTGAATTTGCTTATTTCAATTATTGGTAGTTACAGATACGTATAACTGTAAAAAAAGGTTTACATAAATGAAAAAAAATAGATTTGTGCTTTGTGCCTTAAAAATAATTCCAGAATTTCTACACGTTTTGAAATTATCCACAAAAAGTATGATACACTACACACATAATACGATAGAATACGATAAAATACACACAGAAAAAGGTAGAATATACACAGAATACAATAAAATATTCGCATGATTCAATGACATACGCACATAATGAGAATGTATGTGGAGTAAGATGGTACACACACATAATTCGAAATGTTGAATTCAAAGCAAAATATGATAAAAGAAAGAACATTTAAAATAATACACAAAAAATTCGAGAGGATAATCTTTAAGTGGGAAAGTATACAAATAGAATACATAGGATGCACAAAGAAAACAGTCGAATAAGTATTATTAAAAAAATAACAAAAGCAGATTAACGCAAAACTAATAAAGACAAATCTCACAAAAGCTAAATAAGATGAACGCACAAGTATGCACCGTAAAAGAACTAAATTAAGTATAATTTCAACAAAGATAAGAAAAAACAGTAAACGCCATCTTCAGAATAAAACAAACAATTAAAAAGACAATTAAAATGTTTTAAAATAAAAATCTATTTGGTGGAAGTGGGGGGGTTTTTGAACAAACTGAAATATACATTTCCTTCGGATGCCTATGAATAAATAAGATACATGATGGCTTTTCTGTTTATAAGAGGAAAATTGTTATAGCCTCTATTTTCCTTTATAATGATCCACTTTAATGCCTTCTTCTTTATTCTCCTGATTGGACATAATTTGAACAAATATCAATATACAATACCCTTTTTGATGCTTTTATGATCATTATCAATCATGAGTTTGTTGTTCTTGTGCAGAATTTTAACGATTCCCCCATGTTTTCCTACTAAAAACCTTGATTACCCATTGTGTTCCACCACACCCCTAGAGGTAGCGTTCAGGATTAAAACTAACTTTAATGCACACTTCACGACGATGTTTTCATATCATGATAACTGACCACATTTTTGCTGTTCTTGAGAATAATATTTTTTAAAAGAAATTTGCCCTATGCATTCCTATTTATTCACCCAAAATAGCCTCACCTTGCCCTAGTGAGCATGATTTGAAAAAAAAATTTCTTACAGAGGATGCTTCAATATAAATATGACCATTCATGTCTTTGCTTTTCTTGCGAAAGATATTTTTTTTTATTTTTCCTATGCATTCGTATGTTATACGATCATCACCGATTAGACCCCCATCCTACCCCCATGGGGTCATGATTTGAACAAACGTTAATGCATACTACCAGAGAATGCTTCCATAACACAATGACCAATCATGGCTTTGCTGTTCCTGAGCAAGTTATTTTCAAAGATTCCTTTTATTTATTCCTATGCTGAAATTAAATGCCTCATTTGGCCCAACCCTAACCACGGGAGGTTATGATTTGAAGAAACTTGTCTGTACATTACATGACGATGCTTCACATGAGTTTCATCTTTCCTGGCCCAGTGGTTCTTGAAAGGGAAAAAAAATTAAGATTTTTCGTTTGTATACCTATGTTAAACTTTGATACCCCATTATGGCCAATCCTTTCCCCGGGGGTCATGATTTGAATAAATTTGGATCTTCGCTACATGAATATGCCTCTACATGAGTTTCATCTTTCCTTGCCTAGTGCTTCTCAAGGAGAAGATTATAAGTAATATTTCATTAATTTTTCACTAATTTAAAATAATCTCCCCTTTTAAGATGGTGTGACCATTAATTTGAACAAACTTGAATTCCTTTCACCCATGGATACTTTGTGGCAAAATTGGTTGAAATTGGCCCATTGGTTCTTGAGCAGAAGGTAAAAATATGAAAAGTTCTCAACGGCAAGGACAAGAACGACGACGACAACTACAGCGACGACAGACATCGGACGAATTTTGATCAGAAAAGCTCACTTGAGCATTTGGCTCCCTAGCAAAAAAGCTATATTTTACTATAGTTAACTATAATTAATCAAAGTGTCGAAGTTTTCGCCTAAGGTTTTCAAAATATCAAAATTTTCGAAAAAGTTTTTTTAAAGTGTCTAAGTTTTTGATAAACATTTTCAAAGTGTCAAAGTTTTCGATCAAGTTTTTCAAAGAGTCAAAGTTTTCGATAAAGTTTTTCAAAGAGTCAAAGTTTCGCCAAACTTTTTCAAAGTGTCAAAGTTTTCGCTAAAGTTGTTCAAAGTGTCAAAGTTTTTGCTTAAGTTTTTCAAAGAGTCAAAGTTCTCGATAAAGTTTATCAAAGTGTCACAGTTTTTCGCCGAAGTTTTTCAAAGTGTCAAAGTTTTCGATAAAGTTTTTTTTATAGTGTCTTATTTTTCGATAGACTTTTTTTTTCAAAGTATCAAAGTTCTCAATAAAGTTTTTTTAGGTGTCTAAATTTTCGATAAAGTTTTTCAAAGCGTAAACTTTTTGAAAAAGTTTTTCAAAGTGTAAATTGTTTTTGAGTCAAATGCTGACTGACGTTTTCCATACCAAGTGTTAGTCCATTATTTATACACTGAATTGACTACGAATCAATTGACTACGGATTTTTTCCGTTATTACCTGATCATGACAAGGAGCACACGGCGGGTGTGACCGGTCGGCAGGGGATGCTCACTCCTTCATGGCACCTGATCCCACCTGTGATGTTTCGGGGGTCCGTGTTTGCTCTGCTCTTATTTAGGATTGTTTTATGGACATTGAGATTGTATACTGTTCGTTATCTCCATTTCTTTCTTGAAAAAGTTTTTCAAAGTGTCAAAGTTTTCGCCAAATTTTTTCAAAGTATCAGAGTTTTCGTCAAAGTTTTTCAAAGTGTCAAAGTGTTCGATATTTTTTTTTTCAAAGTGTCAAGTGATCACTATAGTAAATCAAAGTTTTCAAAGTGTCAAAGTTATAACTATAGTTAACTACAGTAAACTATACTTAACTATAGTAAACTATAGTTAACTATAGTAATTTTTTGTTAGGGATATACCAAAAAAGAACATTTTAATTGTTAACAGATCACAGGGATAAAAAAAAATTAATAATATCCACATTCAAAGATTGATTTAAGGAATCACTGTCTAGTTTTGAGGGTATGCAAGGGCATCAACAATAGTGGGAAACATGGGATAATTTGCATAACGGGCGAAGCCCGTTATGCTAAAATTATCCCATGTTTCCCACTATTGTTGATGTCCCTGGCATACCCTCAAAACTAGACAGTGATTCCTTATATTTCCATTTTTTACTTGAAATAACCATCTTAAAATAAATCGAAATACCGTCTAATTGAGTAGATTTGAAATGCACAAGGCCCCATGACGTCAAATTTTACTATAAAAAATAGCCCCAAAAAACGAAACAATTTATTGACTATTTATATTTACCGTGGTCAAATATCAACATTTATAAAATAAACAACAAAAGAATTTTAAATGATGATCAAAGTGATCTTGTTGACTTTAATTATATATGTGACCTAGATTCAGGTTGTCGGAAGCACGAATATAAATAAGCACTATGTCACTTCTCCGCCGCCATATTGAATGCAATGTTGCTGAAACGGGAGCTGGTCAGCATGGTCAGGAAACCGATTTGTATGGATGTTATAATAACAGAAGAAGTTTAGTTGCTTAAGAAGTCGGATGGTAATGACTAAGGGACGATGTCTGTATCAGATGATAGAGTACGTGCAGATCCATGTGGCAATGTCAATTTCTCCACGTGGCTGTTACGGATGTGGTGTTCTCGGACTCGCGAGACCTCGTTCATAGTGGACAGCGTTGCACAAAAGACTTGCTTTCGAGCCGAAGATAATTCATTATTTATTTTGTTTGTTAAAAAAATATATATCATATCAAATTACTTAGTAAACAATTAAAACATCTATTTTTTCTTGAGTATATTTATACGCCAGTGATATACATGCAGGTTGACACCTGACCTTTCAGTAATAGAGAAATATACATACCACAGGGTGTTATCATGAAATTAACAAGAAACACTTTTGTAGTGTTTATCATAGAGAAAACAATTGGAAATGGAAATATTTTATAATCTAATAAATTTATCTACAAGTACCAAGTTATTTCACGGAAGAAATTTACGCAATAAATTGAATATTTGTATTTAATGTCTAAAGCTTATAATCTGCGATGTATCCAAAAATCGCAATTAAATATTAATTTCTTAGAAAAAAAATATACGTAGAAGACCGACCGAAAGAAAGGTTCAAAGAAAACGGCTTTAACAAAATTAATAAATTTAACATGATAGATCTATCAAGAACTAAACAGTTCAT